TTAACTCAATTGACAGCAACAAATTAGTTATATGTAAGTCATCTTTTTATTTATTGAAAAAAGGTAACTTTAGGACACAAAAAATTCAATAAAGATACATTAGTCACAAAATTTGGCTAACATTTAAAAAACTCTAATTGGGGGGGGGGGGGAGATAAAATTTGCCTCCCATCCCCTCCATTTTTTCTAACCAAACAATATACTCCCTCTCTTCCATCCCCAAACCTTGAACCAAATGAAGCTTTAGGGTCATCTGCTGCTGAGCTTTATGTAAGTCCACCTCTAGACATTTCTTTCTTTCAGTATTTTGATATTAATTTATTATGTCTTGAGAGACTAGTCATTCTATTAAATCAATTTCATTAGTATAATATCAATTTTATCACCAATGATTAGATAAATGGTGTGATTTGTTAAAATTTTATATGTTACAATTTGGTCTTGCAACTTTATACAAAGACATTGAAAATTACAGAAAATGATAAAACAAATTACAGAAAATGATCCAAAAATTATAAATAAAAATCCTAGAAATTATGAAAAGGACCAAGAAAAATTTATTGTATTGGTCCCTTTTTATAATTTTTGAGATTATTTTCTATCATTTTTTGATCAAGTAATGGTTAAAATTAATTTTGTTAACTGTAAAGACTAGATTGCATTATTTTCAAAAATTAAGAAAAAAATAACTAAAGATGAGTTGATATTTTCAAACATTCCTGACCTTTAGTTTATGGGCTAATTTGCTCCCTTATTGAATTTAATTTATGTATGTTTAAGATTTTTTTGGCTGAAAAAAATATTGAAGATCTTTAAGAATTAGGTCCTATCTATTAAGATATTTTTTATGAAAAAATATTTTTCTTAAAAGTCACCTTTTAAAGTTTTGATATGATTATTTATGAGTATGATTGAATGTAGATATTATTGTTATCAAACTTTCGAGTTAATTATCTGAGTTTATAATATTTATATTTTTAACTGATAAAATTATGTTAACTCACTCATAAACTCAAATTAGAAAACTCAGCTAAGCTCGCGAGTTGATTCTTTGAGTTTATCATTTTTATATTTCTAACTTATAAAATCATATCAATCTGCTCATAAACTTCTTGAGTAAAATAAATATATACTATATAGAATTTGATTCATAAAAGTAATAGAACTTGATTCAATGAAAAATAAAACTTAAAAAAAGAAAAACAAATATTAATAAAAAAGAGAACAAAACATACAAAAAAAATAAGTTGCCTTGTTTTAAAATTTCTAGATTCAATATAATAATCTATAAATGTAAATGAATTTAATTTCAATAATTTATATTTAAAATATATTTAAATTAAATTATGGTCATATTTTATATTTTAATTATTTAGTTATATATTTTTAAAGGTTATTTATTAATAAAAATCACTCTTGAATTTTTTGCCTAATCCCTTCAAGAATCGCTATAGAGTTTTGATTCATTTCTATGAAAATCGCTGAAAAGTTTTTCAGCCTAAAGATTCATTCTTATGAGAATCGTTTTGAATTTTTTGCTTTGTAATTCATCCTTAAAAATCACTCCTGACTTTTCAATTTATATTTATTTTCTCTAAAACTTCTTTCTATTTGCAAACTTAATGGCATCTTGAATTTGAGATGAAATATTATAATATATTGAGATTTATTTTTCAAATCAAATAATACGGCTTGTTACAAATTCAACGTCATTTGAGGTTGAGGGAAATTGTTAGGATATAATACCAATTGAAATTTATTCTGTTAAAATATTATCTATTGATATTTATTATGTTGAGATTTAAAAAATATTTTATATTTAATAATTATTATTAGAACTGTCTACATATTGTAAGCTTTTCTTACCCCCTACAGTTTTTAGTTCTTTCTCCTCTAACTTTTCTAATACATTTAAAAGTTTAATTTCTTTTTTTGTGATAAAATTTAAATTTTTAATTTATGTGTATTTAAAATTTTTAAATTTTAGGTGAAATTAATTGTTGTGCTTGGGAATATTCATGGCTGCCGTGAAAAGTGAAGAATTATATTGATCAACATGTGAATTCACGAGCATTCTCTCAGAGTTTCAACGAAATTGCTGAAGACTTCAAAAGCCTGTCTTGGGTGTGTATTTCATTTTTTTTAAAAAATATTTTGTAATATAGTTTTTTAAATTATTTTTTAAAACAAAACGAAAATAATCCATTTGGTTGTGATAATTTAAAAACAGTTTCAAAATAAAAAAACTAAAATCAGGTAACAGTTATAATCGCCCGCAATCAATGGTGATAGTTCATAATAGTAATTGATCATAGAGATTGCAATTTTTAATAATCAAGTGTCACGTATTTTGAAAACAAGAAAAATAAAACAGAAACAGCTTTTGAATATTTTTGTTTTATAAAAAAACAAAAAAATAGTTTTAGAAATAATTAAATATAAAACACTTATCTAAATAATTGTTTTAATTTTTTAAAAATAACAAACTGTTTTTGAAAGTAGAAAACAAGCAAGCTCTAACATTCTTATAACTTTGGAATTGGTTAAGTCTCAAAACTTCAATTCAATTTCCAAAACCTTTGTAAAAGCTCATTCACGATAGATGTTGAAAATAATTGTCCCAGGGAGGAGCCCTATTTTGAGAGACTATGATGAATTAATTTTCAAATTTTTGTTAAAAAAATTGTTCACATTTAGAACTCATTTGTTTAAGGTTAAAAAAAAATAATTTTTAAATAATTTAGATATTTTATAAAAATATATTTATTTTATAGAAATTTTATAAAAAGCAAATATTATTTTATGTTCGGTTACAATGATAAAAAAGTGATAATTAATTACTAATTTTTAAATTTTATGATATCTTTCTTTATTTTTATTTTATAAAACTGATTCATTATTATATTATTTTAAAATTTTATGATATTTTCATGCATCTTGTCTTTTTAAAACACTCCTCTCATTTAACACATTAGATTATTTTTAAAAGCTATGTAAAGTAGCTTCTCAAAATAATAAAAAATTAATTTTTTGGAGATTCTAATTATTTTTAAAAGTTTAAATAAATATAATAAAAACTCATAAAATAAATTTTAAAGAAAATAGTTGATTTTTTTTTTTATGAAACAAACTAAAACAAATGGGCCCTTAATACTTGATCATATCTTGAGTAAGATTATTTTTAATAGAAAGATATTTATAAATAATAAAATAATTTAGAATGTTGATATCTTCAATGACTCTTTAACTACATGTAAAGGCAATATGGTAGCTGTTTTAAAAAGATCGACTTGAGAAGCTTCTTCAAAAACTTGATCACTTGACCTTTAAAAGGTAGGCCACGAATATACTTCTTTTTTTTAAATTGAAGGTCATGAAAGAAAATATTAAGCCATTTTATTCTCTTTGGTGGTTTATCGTAAATAAAATTATAAAAACAAAATGTGTGTTGCCTGGTAAGCTAGTCAGCAGAATTATTATTAGCTTTGCCAAGACATGACTGAAGGCAACATTTTTTTTTTTTTTGCACAAACGAAAACAAAAATCTTCAAAGAATGAGCAAAGGGTTCTCAATATGAATATTTTAGGTTTTAACCACTAACGTGCTTTACAATTTCATTCTAAGATTTCACTCCATTCTTATCTTCATTTTTATTTTAATTTTCATTTATATCTCTCCACTCAATTAAAAGTGCGTTCAGCCTAAAGTTGAAATAAAGGTCAGGAGGCTGCCTTTTAACCTCATTTTTATAAAGATTTAATTTTTTTTAAAATGGCATTATTTAGAGAAATCAAGCTTTAAAACCCTATCAGTAAACGCTGTAAAAATGGCACGGGCTCTAATTGTCCTTTTAGGCTTTTTTTTTGTTTTATCCTTGAAAAATACAATATTTTTAAATTTTAAATTTAATTTAAAATTTGAAATATAATTCTTTCAATCCTTATTGTAAAACACTTTCAATCATTTCATACATTAAAAAAATTTATTTTTTTTATATCATGAAAAATTGAGATACTCCATCTATTAAAAAATATAAGGCATTTTTAATCAAATTTCACCCCAATAAAATAGTTACCTATTTTTTAACTAACTTTATCTTTTCATATTTACCCCTATGAATACCCTATAATAAATATAAAATCATTCATTAATAGAGGTATTTTTTTAAAAAAGGACAATGATTATATTTTAAAAGATTAAAAATACTTTATATTTTTAAATGAAGGAAGTATACTTTTATTTTTGCCCTTGACTTTAAATCATAATACAATTACATTAAATATATACGTTAATTAGGAAAGGATAAATTTTGAAAAGTATTTAATTATTACAATATATCCTATATTTTGAATCAAAAATTACTTCTAAACTATATCCTATAAATAGAATACGAGGGAATATATTTATACTTTAAAATTAAAATTATTATTATTATTTTTTATTTTTTAAACATAATAATCTGTATTTTAAAAATTATGAAATATTATAATTAAAATTTTAATTTTTAAAAATATAAAAACAAATAATAATAATAATAATAATAATAGATTTACAGGGCCAATCCTAAACTCTTTAAATAAAAACCAATTTCAAAAAATAATTAGTTTTAAGATAATCAAATTTATGCTTCAGCCAAAGATTAAGCTCACATGGGCACGGCCCCGGTTCTCTGGCTCCACTGAAGCCATTCCATTTCCATCTGGTAAAACACTTCCTTTGATAATTAAAAGGAAAAATTATAGAACAGTCCCACATAAAAGTTTTAATTATATTTAAATTTTATAAAATATACAACATATCATTATTATTATTAAGTTTTAAATAAATTTTAATTATATTAAAATTTTATAAAATATACTAATTATTATTATTATAATAAGTTTTAAATTCTGTACAATTATAATTTGATAAATTTTGCATGGGATTTGAAAATTTTTATTCTGTACATTTCTTGATAATTAAAATTTTTATAAAGAAAATTTCAAAACAGTAAAACAAAAAATCCACGTTTCGTACTGTATGCGATGATATTCCCAAAGCCGATCCTGCATCCTACTTTTTCTCTTTTGAAGCTTCTCTTCGTCTTCTTAAAGCAATACTGAATCCGAATTCAGAAGGCGTAAAGCGAACCCTAATAACTGTTGTACAGTTCTATCAGATCAAAGTAACTTTGGCGATGGAAGCACCTACCTTCCCTTCCTTTTGGAGCTTGTTATACGTTTCTCTAATTCTAACTGTAATCAAGCTTGTGAGTGCTAATTCCGAAGGAGACGCACTCCACGCCCTTCGCCGGAGCTTACACGATCCGAATAACGTGCTCCAGAGCTGGGATCCGACCCTTGTTAACCCTTGTACGTGGTTTCACGTCACCTGCAACCAAGATAACCGGGTCACTCGAGTGTATGTGCTTATATTTCTCTCTTTTTTCCTGTGTTCTTGTTACATGATGGATATGAGTTCAATTTTTTTTGAATTTTTATTTGTTTCAATGGGACGAATTCAATTTCGGCTTTCTATGTTTAACAGGTAGTTATAGACACCATTCCTAGGATTAGATGCAGTTTCTCTTAAGATTTGTTCATTAATGGTATTTTGTGTTCTGACTATAGAATTTATGGACTTAGTTATTCTATTTCGGTGTCCGTGTTGAATAACTTTATGCTGACAGCCTAGAGTAACAAAGATTGCTAAAGTGGTAATGTAGTTGCATTCAGCAATGAATTAGAAGCAGAAAAGGCAGGGAATAATTGGGATGAAAAAAATGGAAAGTATAATCTTCATTCGTTGAGTCATGGAAGAAAGGGACTTCAAATAAAATCTCTCACCAGACTCCTCACAGCTCCCCTAAATTCAATATTGTTAAGCTCTTAAGCCTGAAGAGGCAATATCTGTTGTTTTTCTGTTATAGAAGTTCTCTGTGGTGTTTCCTTGTTAAATGTTCAGGATCTTTCTATGATGAATCAAATCATTATACCTTTTCTTTGCAAGAAGAATATGTCTAAAATTGTTGGCAAAAATCTCCTTTGAAACACTTGTTTCAAGAAGAGAGATGAGCATCTCATCACCTACAAAAGTGGAGCCTCAAGGTCGCAGATTGATTTTCTTTTGGTTAGGAACACAGATAGAAAACTTTGTAAAAATTGTAAGGTGATCCCTGGAGATGCTGTAACGACACAACATAGGGTCCTAGTCCTTGATGTGTGTATTATGAGTAAAATCCAAAAACGTCGACAAGTAGTAACACCAAGGATTAGGTGGTGGCAATTAAAAGGTGAGAAGCAAGATATTTTCAAGCGAAATCTTTTGGATAAAGGAATTTGGGATTCTCAGGGAAGTGCTAACATCATATGGGAGGATATGGCTAAAAAGATACGGGAGGTTGCAAAAGTAGTTTTGGGAGAATCGAAAGGTCCTGGTCCGAGAGATAAGGAGTCTTGGTGGTGGAATAATAGTGTACAGGACAAAATCAAGTATAAGAAGAACTGTTTTAAAGCCATACATTTGTGTAACAATGAGGAAAATTGGGAGAGGTACCGTATGGCTAAGAAGGAAACTAAGAGAGCTGTAGGTGAAGCTCGTTCTAAAGCTTTTGAAGAATTTTATAAGAACCTTGAGACGAAGGAAGGAGAGCAAAATATTTATAAGATTGCCAAGAGTAGGGAAAGAAAATCAAGAGATCTAGAACAGGTAAGGTGTATTAAGGATGAAGAGGGAAGAATTTTAGTTACAGATGATGAAATTAAAAATAGATGGGAGACTTATTTTTCTAAACTTTTCAATGATGGAGAGGATTCATCTAGTAACTTGGAGGATTTAGTAACTGGTGAAGGAGAACAAAATTTGTCATTCTATCGAAAAATACGTGATAAGGAGGTAAAGGAAGCTCTTAAGAAAATGGCAAATGGTAGAGCGAACGGACCTGATTGTATATCTATCGAAGCGTGGAAATGTTTAGGTGAAGAAGGGGTGAGATGGTTAACTAAGTTATTTAATGTGATTTTACGGTCCAAGAAAATGCCTGATGAGTGGAGGAGAAGTACATTAATTCCTATTTATAAAAATAAAGGAGATATTCAGAATTGTACTAACTATAGAGGGATTAAACTCATGAGCCACACAATGAAATTGTGGGAGAAAGTAATTGAGCACAGGTTGAGATTGGAGACAAGTATTTCTGAGAATCAATTTGGTTTTATGCCAGGTAGATCAACTACAGAGGCAATTTATCTACTAAGGGGATTAATGGAAAAGTATCGTTGTAAAGATAAAGATCTACACATGGTTTTTATTGATTTGGAAAAAGCTTATGACCGTATACCAAGAGAAGTGCTTTGGAAAGCGTTGGAAAAAAAGGGAGTACGGATTGCTTATATTAAAGCCATACAAGATATGTATGAGGGGGTAAAAACTAGTATAAGAACGCCTAGTGGTCAAACAAAGGATTTTCCTATAAAGATTGGGCTACATCAGGGATCATCTCTGAGTCCTTATTTGTTCAACTTGATTTTAAATGTTTTGACGGAACATATTCAAGAGGAAATCCCGAAATGTATGCTCTTCGCGGATGATATAGTTCTTATAGCAGAGACAAGAGAAGAGGTTAATTGCAAACTTGAGTTATGGAGGAGGACATTGGAGTTGAAAGGTTTTCGTCTGAGTAGAAGTAAGACGGAATATTTATATTGTAAATTTGATAAAGGACTATTCGAAAATAATTTGGAAGTGAAATTGGGAGATCAAATTATACCTCAAGTGGAAAAGTTTAGATATTTGGGAGCCATTATCCAAAATGATGGCGAAATCAGTGGAGATATTTCACATAGAATTCAAGCTGGGTGGTTTAATTGGAGAAAAGCTAAAGGAGTTATTTGTGACCGTAAGGTGCCTAATAAACTTAAAGGAAAGTTTTATCGTACTGCTATCAGACCGGCAATGTTATATAGTAGTGAATGCTGGGCTCTAACGGGACAGCAAGAGCATAAAGTTGGAGTAGCAGAGATGAGAATGTTACGATGGATGTGCGGACATACACGTAAAGATAAAATTCGAAATGAGCACATACGTGAAAAAGTGAGGGTGGCAGCTATTGAGGAAAAAATGGTAGAAAATCGGTTGAGATGGTTTGGGCATGTACAAAGAAGACCAAGGGAGGCACCAGTGAGAAGAGTGGAACATATAACTTTGAGTCCGATTAAGAGAGGTAGAGGAAGGCCTAAGAGAACACTCTTGGAAGTTGTTGAACGTGATCTCTTAATTAATAATATTTCTAAAAGCTTAATAAATGATAGAGCACAATGGCGTCTTGCAATCCATGTAGCCGACCCCACCTAGTGGGATAAAGGCTTGTTGTTGTTGTTGTTTATTCATGTATGGATTGAGTTAGTGTCTTTGCAATTTTAAGTTTTTGGCCAATGGATTGCTTGCTCATTAAGTTTTATAATCGTTTTTATCAAAAGATGAATTCAGCATATTTAGTTGATTAAAAGCAGTCTGTATTTTCTATCTTCCTTGATGATTATGTTGACTGTCTTATAATATTTTCTGCAGTGATCTTGGCAACTCAAACCTATCTGGACATTTGTTACCTGAACTTGGGAACCTAGAACATCTACAATATCTGTATGTTTTTAAATCTGTGGTTAATCTTCTGTATTGATACTTTCTCTCCAAATATGTGAAATGCCCTTACAGAAATCATCAACACATTTTTATATATTATAACTGTCCTTTTGTTATGAATTCAAATGAAGCATTTCATATTTATCATTGACTCCGAAATCCTTTACTCATACTGATGTAGTGAGCTTTATAAAAACAATATTCAAGGAACAATTCCTCTAGAGCTTGGGAACCTGAAGAACCTCATTAGCTTGGACTTGTATAGCAACAACATATCAGGAATCATTCCTCCTTCACTGGGGAAGCTGAAGAATCTCGTCTTTCTGTAAGTATGGTTAAATCTGTCATTGCTCTTAGAAGAATTATTAGATAGAGGATGTAAAGTAGGGAAGATTTTAGAAAATTTTATGCCCAAGTAATAGTTATTCTGGAGTCAAAAAAAGTTGTATTGGAAGATTCATCTTTTATGATCATGACATGGACTTTGGGGTTCTATAGTTATGCTGTTAGGTTCAACTTGCAGAATTGTAGTCTGATTTGCTGATTTAATGTTATATAGTGGTGGCTCCCAATTAAACGAATTGGCTCTAAAATTCATACGCCCTGAGTTATGCAAACAGAGAGCAAATGTAACGTTTGATTGTGTAGGTTGGATATTAATGCATTACTGTAAGCAGTGCTGCATGAATTGTGCGATTACAACTACACAAGATTCCAAGAACTAGAAACTTGTAGCAAACATAGACTTCAAATATTAAAAGCAAATCTAAAGATATAATTCGATATCCATGCAATGATACAAGGTCAGATGAAATTGAGATTTCTAAAGCTACAAAACTCAGTAATGTGACATTGTGATTGTATGCAAATTACTAAAGGACACAAGAACTCGTGATAATAATATAAGAAGACTCAATTGAACAATCTAATGGGCCACAACTAAGCTCAAGTCAAAAGTGTTCCTTGATACTAGCTCTAAATTCAACTAATATAATATTGACCATTATCTAATTGCAAGTAGTTACTCTTTAATGTACCCAATGAATTTCCTTAACTTATTTTTTAGCTCCCAAAGAATCTGAAGTTTATTCAACCATCTCACCCTTTTTTTTTTTTGAAGAAATGCAAAATTATGTGTAAGCTTTCTAGTTGATGGGGAGACTGTACTTAATGGACTTACGATAGGTTTGAGAGCTCTTTTGGTCTAAAGTCTTTGTTTTTGGTTTTACTTTTTATTATAGAAAAATTCCTTGTCCTATATGATTGTATTTCATTGCTCTCAAGAAATCAATATTTTCTTTGCAGGCGACTGAATGACAATCAGTTAACTGGTCCGATCCCTAGGCAACTTGCTGATGTTAAAAGCCTTAAAGTATTGTAAGTCATTGTTTTCTTTATGATGCAATTCTATGGTGGTATTCTGAAGTAATGCCCATGCAAACAGTCTAAACGACTCTTGTTTTTCTCTTCAGGGATGTTTCCAACAATGATTTATGTGGAACAATTCCTACTGGAGGGCCATTTGAGCATATTCCATTGAATAAGTAGGCTTCCAAATATTTAACTTCTAATTCTTTACTCTAATTACGCGTATGGAGCCATTCATGTTGCTTTGTATTGGTGTCTGTTTGTTGTAAATTGCATTATGTGTTGCTTAAGGATTGAGACTTTTTCATCGAGAATTTTGTCATGGCTATTGACTGTTAATATGCTTCCTGTCTATTAGTAGCAGAACCATACTCTGAAGCATCATCATACTATATATTAAATTTTCTTGCATACATGCTTTATCTTCTAGTTTGTAGATTGCTATTAAATTCTGTAGTCATATTTTTGTAGCTTTCCTAGCTTGTCAAGTTTATTCCATGTTTCATAACAACAAAGATGAACACATTTATTTTGTCAAGCTCAGAAGCCAAGTAACCTTTATGGCTGCTTATGTCTATTTGATTCAAAAACAAAGATGAACACATTTTTAACTTCACAAAGCAAATGCATTTTCTAAACAACAAATTTTACTAAGGAAAATAAAGAATTGAAAAATGAAATTGTTTAGGCAGAAAGTACCCTTGCATTTCCTGCTGCATTCAATCATCTATCTTGGTGAAGAGGATGGGGTGGGTTGGGGTTTCGTTATGCTTTTTGCGCTTTTAGACATCATAATGGCAGGAATCTTGCTATAGTTTGAATCTCATGTCAATGTCGTGCAATATGCGTAGTGCAGTCATGAAATGTACGATGTTACTGCTGCTGATGTTTCCTGTCTAATTTGCCGAACTAATCTTTTAAATCTCGTTGATGGTTTTATTCAAATAAGTTTTTGTCTATTTGTCAATGGCTAAAAAAGTTCTTTGTGCTGCAGCCAAAAAACAAACAAATAGTATAAAAACTGAAGTTGGACAAGCAAAAGTAACCATTCTTTAGTAGCAACTAAGTGATGGAAGTTGGAACTAATGTAGCATGGATAATTAACCTGGAAAATAATATATCATGAATGGTTAATTTCAACCTAGCCTGTCCCCTTGCTAGTAGCCATGAATTGTTTGATAGCATGTCCTAGTGGAGAGGATCAGATTGTTCTTTGTTTCTGTAATTTGTAATTTGTTTGCATTCCTGCTTTTTTCCTGTGCGCTGATTCTGAAAGCATTGGAACTTTGCTTCCTGGTAGTGTATATTTTCTAGGACCCGTTTCTTTTCCTTCCCATGATCTAAGGAGGAAAACTAAATCATTTCTCGCTTCAATTCTGTAGCTTTGAAAATAACCCTCGGCTGGAAGGTCCAGAGTTGCTGGGACTTGCGAGTTATGAAACAAGTTGCTCGTGAAGACCACAAAGCCTTAGGATCTGAATCTTAAATGGATTACATGCGTGTATTAGAAAATCAAAGTGTGTTATTATCTATTACTGTAATAGGCAGCTGTAAAAGTAGCCCCTGTTTTATGTAAATGTTAGTGATCGAAATGAATTGTCATCCGTAATTGTATTATGATGGTTCAAAAAACGTTAAAAGACGTGAGTTGCAATGGTGGTTGTGATTGCTGACTTTCTGATGGATATGATATGATGGACTGATCTAATCATTGTAATGTTGATATATATATATATATATGTATGTATGTATGTGTGTATTAAGATAAAGTTTAGTTTTGACATGTCTTTGCGTCCGTATCTGTGATTAGTATTCAATTGAGATTTTCTTATTATTTCTTTCACATGTGTTTTACTTGGTTGTCATTGAATATTTAGAAAGTTTCTTGAAGATGGATTGCAGGTCAACACATTCTGCAGTTCAAGTGAACTTAACTATCTTATATGTCTCTAGTGTCAGGTTTTCAATCCAAATATGGTAAATATGTGGATTCTCAATAATAACAACATGATGAAAAGTATATTATTTTTCTTTGCAACTGCTTGATTCTTTTAATTAAATTTTAAGCTCATTTTATGTCATTGAAAAGTTGAACAACTATCATATTTTTGGATTATAAGATTTGATCACTACATACAACAAATTACAAGTTCGATGATGATTGGAGAAACCACTGTACTTGTAAGACAGATGATTCTGTGCTTTAGGGTAAGGATGGCACGAAGAGTTCTTGGTATCCTCTATGTACAAGTCTTTGTGCTGCTGGTGTATACGCATATTCGTGACAGTTCATGGCAAGATATTTGGAAATTGAACCTAATGGGTGCAAGACTTTTTTTTCTTTAATTCCTTTCTTTTCGATTCATCTTTGATTGGTTCGTAATCGCACGACTCATTTCACTCAACCACTCAGGCTTAACGATAACTTTTTGGACGAGTTTTGTGTAGCCGATGAAACAGGCTTTGGGTTCCATTACATTGCAAGAAATCATTCCCGCCATTCTCCCTTCTGGTGAACCCCATGTGTCTGCCTCGAGCTTGAAGCAGTGGGGAAGAAAAGCAAAGTACACTTGTTGCTTTCATACACTTGTCGGCTCAGTTAGCGAAGGCAAGTTGTGAAACGTTGTCTCCACTGCTCGTGAAACTGAGGAGACTCGGTCAGTATAAGGAATGGTTCTCGAGCTCAGGTACGGGTGACTCAGTCACATGTGCTTGATTGAATATGCAACCGCGGCTATAATTGGAGAGCGAGACATAACAAGTTAAAGTTAAAAAATTAAGTTATAAGTAAATTAAAAGTTAAAGGATTAAAAGATTAATTTTTTTAAAAATAATTTATTGTTTAGTTATTTTAAAATTTTATAATATTTTCATATATCTTATTTCTGCCCCCCATCTATCTAAGTGTACGGTCAGTTTGGTTCAAGGAAAATGATGCGGATGTGAGAAAAAGGTTTTCATAATTTTTTTTAATATGAAAAAGTGGGGTTGAAAGTTTTTGCTTGATTTTCCTCTTACATTTTCTCTCTTAAAATTTTAGGGTTAAAGTATTAATATGCTTCTGTTTTTTTTTTTTTCCAGGAACGCTGGGCATATTAAAGTAAGGACAATGCAATATTATCCTTCAAGTACGAAAAAATATGGCAATATTACTCCTTCATTAAATATTTGTTAATTTGATTGTTAGATGATTAAAAAATTATATAAAAGAACTTAGAAACTCACAAAAAAGGATAAAAATTATAGAAAAGGAATTTATAAAAAAATAATATTGATTGAATCTCTTAAATTACAAATAAATTCTAATAGGTCAATTTTATTTCTGACCCATGTAAAGCATCAAAATGTCACATTAACCAACCAATATGACTAACTACCACGTAATTATCAGACATACAAACTATCAAATATTAAATTGTTAAAAATTAATTTATATTTATAATTATTTGGCTTTGCATATTTTTATCGAATAAAATATAAATGGCATGGTACATCAAATTTCAACTAATAAACATGCGTTTGACCCCGATTTTGTGGCCAGAAAATCAGGCATATATAGCCATTTCAGAATTTTGGGGAGTCAACAAGCTGCACCTCAGAATCAGGGCTGTTTGATTAAAAAAAAAATAAAAAATCAAGGCTCTAGATCTAGAGTCTCAGATACTCACAACTTGGAAAGGCCAACAGAGCCAACAAGCTTACTAAATGCAATGCTGAAGCAATGTCTGAGTATCGTATGGTAGAGTGAGAAACAAATAGAAGGGTTAATGATCATTTTTGTAACCCCAATTTTACTCAAAAAATTACCAAGGACCCTAAATTTAATTGAATCAATTCTATCTTTTAACATTAAAAATTATTTCTTTTATCATTCTGACGTTAAAAACACTTAATAATTATTTATCATCGGTTGGTTTCACTATTTTTTAAATATTTTTTAATGGATTAATGATTATTTTTGCCCCTCAACTTTTATTCGAAAGGTCATTGGGCACCCTCAACTCAAATATTTTATATTTATAATAAAAAATATTAAAATGTAATGTGTGACTTACTAACAATCAACTAACTGTGAAAAAATTGTAGGTTGATAAGAGAGTGAATCTTTAAAATTGAGGGATAAAATTCACTCATAGTTGAGTTTAGGATCCTCAGTGACCTTTTAGATAAAGTTGAGGGGTACAAATAAACTTAAAAAGTTGAGTATTAAATAAGTTTTATATATTTTTCAATTATACACTTACTTTTTTATACCTACTCAAGTAACAATTAATAATTTTTTTTTGAATAAGTCAAATATATTTATTCTAGATACGGTTTGAAAAGATATAAAAAGATATAAAACAAAATCAAAATTTTAATTAATTTTTTTGGAGAATTATAATTAGTTAATGTTGAGTTGTTTACTCCAGTCCTATTTATAAGACATTTTAAGCATGTTTTACTAAAATCAATAAAAACTTTAAATCTCTTTAATTCTATCTTAAAATTTAGTAAATTTTCACCTCTACTCTTTAAAATAAAGATAAAAATAAATATTGTTAATAATTTTTGCCAACATTCATTAATGGCAGAAAAGTGAAGATGAACATAAAAAGAAGTAAATTACCCTATAAATAGGATTACAATTAATCTTTTCTCTATCCTATAAATAGAGGAAGAGGAGTATATTAATCAAGAGTGCATATATGTAAATATACTCCCCCTATCCCAATTTATAAGACATTTTTGGGGGAAATTGATTGTTTCCAAATAGAAAATATTTTAACAAAAATAAAATTTTGTTAATAATGCTTTTTAAAAATACACTTCCCATTATATTTTTCCTATCTCTTTAATATTTTTTCATAAATTGCATATTAGATTAAGGACATTTTTAAAAGTTTATATTTTGCTTAAAAAATAAAATTTTAAAATATATTTAATAAATTTTATTGATATACATGATTTTATTTAATCTAAAAGTATCTTTTAAAATAAAGATGAAGGGAGTACTATTTAAGTATATTCATTGATCATAAATAGTCAGAGTTAGAAATTAGGGTAGGCCATCTTCGATTGATTAGAGTATAAAAAAATGAGGCTTTAAAGGCCCTTTTATATGAAAGAGTTATGTTTTTTCAAACCTAATTCTAACCTTCCAGGATCAAGGCCGAACTCCAGTATAATAAACATGTCCCTCTAGTGGGTCGAAAAAATAAAACGCATGTTCCTCCTCAACCACTTGGAGTAGGATTTTATAATATAATAAATTAATATTTAAATATTTGTTGAAAGAGATATCTACATTTAATATTGGATAATACCTTAAATAGGATTGCTTCTAATAATAGAATACATATGGGTTAAAAAAAAAACATGTCCCTCTCCAACAATAAACATTGTTCTAAACTCCCAATGAAGGAGGTTATGGTCGTTTAAGTATAAGACCTCAAGTTTGAGTTCATGTGAGTGTGAAAAAACATCTTAGAAAAAGCTACTCTCAGTTGGGCCCATGATTCTCAATCTAATCCAATTAAATAGTCATGTAAAACATGTCCTTCTTTGCTTCTCCTTTTTCCTTTTTTTTTTCTTGCTTGGTTCCACAACAAATACAGAGTTGGAAAAAGCTTATAATTAAAATCCTAATAAAGAAATAAAAAATTAATGCCAGATTTTCTTATAATTAATCTTATGTTCCAATAGAAAGGTAAACTTACTACTTTAACAACATATTTGTATATTTCAGCCAAAGCAAAACATATGTGGTGACTTTATCTTTGTAGCTACTTTTCATTACATTATATATTTTTCTAGTAAAAAAATATGCATTAATTAAACAAACATTTATGTTTGAACTTTTCCTGGCCGACTAACATTTTTTTGAACTTGGAATCAGCCTCAGTTTCAAAATGTTTATATATCAATATATGAATGGTTAAACATATGCCACCTAGCTAGCGCACACAGATAATATGAATCCGGTTGCTACGGATACAATTTTATTTTATAGTTTTCTGTATTCAATCTCTGATATGTCCACTCACATGGTGTTATGATCTTTTTCTGTATTCCAAAAAAAAAAAACTTTCATCGCTAACAATTGATATTTGTTTTTGAATATGAGTCTGACAGAAGATATTAGTTTAATTCTCATCATGAACTAATATTTAAATCGCTATTGTGAGAAGTATATATAATTCTATATTTAATGTCTAATTTTATTTTAAACAGAATTGCCTCGAATAAGAAAATCATTTTGTGCCTGATAAGAAAAGAGTAAAGTGAGGTGGATGAAGATCAAGAGTTTAAAATATTTAAGAGAAAATAATAATTAAAATAATTATTATATTCATGCATGCACGTTTGATTACCAAAATAATTTGTTCATAATTGGACTTTAATTAAATTGACAATTCTAAATATTCTATGTTACATAAGTTTTTTTTTTTTTTTGCCCGGCAAGAAATAGGGATTCCATTTCAAACATAACATATTTCATATGTTATCACGTGAATGCCCTATGTTCTCATCTTAATCAGCAAAAATAAGAACTGAATCAATATTAATATATAATATATACTCCGTGCGTTAAAAATATAAGGTATTTTTTAAAGAGTATGATGTTTAAAAATATAAGGCATTTTTAGTTTTTTAAAGTGTAATCATTGTCTTTTTTTCAAAAATGCCCTATTGATAATGACTTTATATTTATTGTAGGGTGTTTAATAG